GAGCCTTGAGCAACCTGCTCTGCTGGGAGGTGTCCCTGCCCAGGGCAGGGGTTGGGGCTGGATCATCTCCAAGCTCCATTCCAATCCCTTAACAGTTTGTGATTCCATAAACCCAACTCATAAGCTGCAGCTTGGATCCTTCCCACTTAACTCTGATAGGCTTGGGCAGTAGATTTCAACAAAGAAAAAAGACTATAACAGATTCCAACACTGAACATCGAGTGAAATATTCCTTGCAATCCATCCCTTGTTTGACTTGTGTGAACACATCTGAATTTTTGCCTGGAAAAAAGCCCCAAGAACTGGTATTGATCTAACCCTTATACATTTCAGTGATTAAGTATAATTTCACCTGCTTGTTTTTTTGTTTTTTTTTTTTTTTTGTTCCAGGCTGTTGTTGTCACTGATGGAGAAAGAATACTGGGTCTTGGAGACCTAGGTGTGTATGGGATGGGAATTCCAGTAGGAAAACTGTGTCTGTACACAGCCTGTGCAGGAATACACCCAGACAAATGCTTACCCGTGTGCATCGACGTTGGGACTGATAACACAGTGAGTGCTCTGAGCTTTGCCTGCCATAAACCATCCCCAGCAAAAGTATTTCCTCAGGAATATTTATGAGAGGAGTTTGTTACTCGAGCAGTTTTGCTTGTGACAAAACCAGAGGGTGAATGATCTGTGCAGTTACATGCCAGGGATTGAAAAGTGCCAGTTGGCTTCTCTGTGAAGTGGTGCATTTGGAAGTAATTGGAGTGATGGAATGCTGAGCCAGTCCATCTGACCTGCCTTTAAGAAGCTGGAAATGTGGATCAGGTTTATTGAAGCAGTCTGCTGTATTGATTTGTTCCATTTAAAAGCACCCAGCCCCGAGTGCCAGCTGGAAGCAGCGAGCTCTGCCCCGGGCTGGAGGCTGTTCCTGGGGCTGTGTAAATGCTGTGCCCTTGGGATGAAAAGTGCTGCTGTGAACCTGCAAGGTGTTTCCTGAGGAGCTGATCCATCCTCTCGGACTTGTTCCTTTGCAGACACTCCTGAAGGATCCATTTTACATGGGGCTGTACCAGAAGAGGGATCGCTCGCAGGTCTACGACGACCTGATCGATGAGTTCATGGAGGCCATTACAGACAGGTATTGCTCCAAGCCAGGGGGATGAAACCTTGAGCAACCTGCTCTGCTGGGGAGGTGTCCCTGCCCAGGGCAGGAGGTTGGGGCTGGATGATCCCCAAGGTCCTTTCCAGCTCCTTAACACACCATGACACTGAGTGTTCTGCACGGGAGCGAGGCCAAACCCCCTGACACCCAAAGCCCCTCGCACACTGTCCTTGAAACAGCCATGTACAGACCAGGGAGAGGGCTGGAGCTCAGGAGCATGGCTGTAAGTCTGTCTCTGCAGCAATACTCTCTACCTGCTGCTTGCAGTCCCTGCTGGACGTGCACAGACCGTTGGAAGCAGTGGAAGGCCCCAGGGTGTTCCGTTTCTCCGTGGGTTGCACTCAGGGGTTCCTTTTTCCTACGTGTCCATGTTTGCCATGCTCTGTAGGTATGGCCAGAACACACTTATCCAGTTTGAAGACTTTGGGAACCACAATGCTTTCCGTTTCCTGAGGAAGTACAGAGAGAAGTATTGCACCTTCAACGACGACATTCAAGGTACACCCTTTGTCTTTGTTCCTCCATGTAAAACTCTGCCTCAAGCCATAACCTGCCACGTTCAGCTCACCTTAGGTCTGTGCTGCTCTTCCAGGGACAGCCTCAGTGGCCTTGGCAGGACTGCTGGCAGCACAGAGAGCCACTGGCAAACCCCTGGTGGAGCAGAAAGTGCTGTTCCTCGGAGCAGGAGAGGTGAGTTCTCAGGGGCCCCAGAGCAGCAAGGGGGGGAACTGTCTGTTTTCTCATCCTGTAGGACTTGTGGAGTTTTGCATTCTCTGAGTGCCATTGCAGACCTTTTTTCTATAAGGCCATCTGAGATTCATCAGCAGAGTTCATTAACCTGCTCTGAGAGGATTGTGTGACAGGCACTTGACATTTGCAGGGACTCAGGGTCTTCTCTGTCTTGCATGGACTGGGAAAAAAAGCATCGGAGACTTGTCTGTGTAGCTGAAGGGGAATTTTACCATAAATTTACAATCTATTAAGAACATCTTGTTCTGAGGAGAGCAGTGTTTTTCCCAGCAAGGTAAGTCTGTTTGCAGCAGACACTAGTTGGTTACTGGTGTAGCAGTGCCAGGAGCAGCTTCCTGGTCCATCAGCACAATTACTTCTGTGGTGCTGACACAATAACTTAATTAGCTGAGAAGTTCTCCATCTGGGGAAGGCCCTGACTGCAGTAATTTTTGCCTGAGCACCGAGCCCTGCTCTGCACCTCAGCCTGCCTTTCTCCTCCCCTCACACTGAGCAGTGTGTGCGGTGAGCCAGGAGAAGGGACACAGGGAACCAACATTGCTTCGTCCTCCAGGGTCCTCTGGCTCTGTCTGTTCTGTGGCTGTGTAACATCCTCTCCCTGCCCTCTGCAAGGCCTTTGTCTCAGAGGGAGGGTTGGAGGGCAGAGCACTGTGCTGTGGTTTCTTGACCAGTGTTCTGGAGCAGCAGCTTGTCCTTGCTGCCTGGTTCTGCTGCTGTGGCTG